CATGCAGCGAGGCTGGAGTGCCCAGGCTGGAGTACAGTGGCCACCCAGCGTCAACCTGCTTGGCTCAAGGGATCCTTCTGACTCAACTTCCAAGTAACTGGAACTACAGGCATGCACTACCACGCCCGGCTAATTTTTAAAAAATTTATTGTAGAAATGAGGTCTCACCAAGTTGCCCAGGGTGGTCTCAAACCCCTGGACCCAGGCAATTCTCTCACCTCTGACTCCCCAGGTGCTGGGATTATAGGCGTGAGCCACTGCACCTGGCAGAGCTTAGCTTAAATACTGGATTTAATCATCACTTAGAAAAATATATAAAGCACTCAGCTGCCAGCAGGGTGATGTGTCCTTTCTCTTAAAGCACCCCTGTTCTCTCTTGAACATGTTTTCTCCCTCTTTTGTTTTTTTTTTTTTGAGTTGGAGTCTCACTCTATCACCCAGGCTGGAGTGCAGTGAGTGAGACTCCAACTCCATCCACCGCAGCCTCGACCTGCCAGGTTCAGGCGATCTTTCCCCCTCAGTCTTCCAAGTAGCTGGAACTACAGGCACACGCCACCATGCCCTGCTAATTTTTTGATTTCTTGTAGAGACGAGGTCTCACCAAGTTGCCCAGGCTGGTCTTGAACCCCTGGGCTCAGGCAATCCTCTCACCTCAGCCTCCCAAAGTGCTGGGATTACAGGCGTGAGCCACCGTGCCAGTCTGTTTTCTCCTTCTTTATAAATCCTATCTTAAATGATACTTTGGATTCGCTCTGAAATTCTTTTCTGCAGTGAAGCCAGGAACCCACAGAGTAACATGCCATACCTGGCATCAAACTGTGTTCATTTGTCTGCATGTCTTTTCTTGATCTCCCTCTTCTAGAAAGCGAGGGCCTTGAGAAGAGGGATCCCCTCTGTCTGGTTCCACACTGGCCTCAGGGTCCCAGAAAAAGAGCCAGGCCTACAAGCTGCACATTCAGCAAATACTACTTGCGGAAGCAAATGAAATCACCTCGCATGGGGAAACGTATGATATATGATGACAATGCAAGGAAGGAAGAAGGAAGAGATTAATTGTGGCTTAAAAAAAATAGCCCTGGGATGAAGTCAGCAGTAAAACATTGCATTACATTCTGTTACTCTAACAGGAACAGGACACCTGGGGACCGAGAACGAATCTGTCTGCTGTTTGTTGCTTTAGTCAGACCTGCAGACACTGTGTAATTTTTTTTTTGAATCAGAGTCTCATTGTCACCCAGGTTGGAGGGCAGTGGCAAGCTCATGGTCACCGCAGCCTTGACCTGCTGGGCTCAGGTGGTCCTTCCGCGTCAGCTTTCCAAGCAGCTGGAACTACAGGCATGAGCTACCACACCCAGCTAATATTTTGATTTATTGTAGAGATGAGGTCTCACCAAATTGCCCAGGTTGGTCTTGAACCCATAGGCTCAGGCAATCCTCTCACCTTGGCCTTCCAAAGTGCTGGGATTACGGCATGAGCCACCAAGCCCGGCCTGATTTCAGCATTTTAAAAGATATATGTCAGGCAACCCCCTCAAGCCCCTCCTGCTATGGGAGCTTTTCTGTTCTCTCAATAGATCCTACTTTCAAAAAACAAACAAACAAAATAAAGGCTGGATGGGGTGGCTCAAGCCTGTAATCCCAGCACTTTGGGAGGCCGAGGCGAGAGGCTTGCCTGAGCCTGGGGGTTCGAGATCAGCCTGGGCAACTTGATGAGACCTCATCTCTACAATAAATAAAAAAAATTAGCTGGGCATGGTGGCACGCACCTGTAATTCCAGCTACTTGGAAGGCTGAGGTGGAAGGATTGCCTGAGCCTAGCAGGTAGAGGCTGTGGTGGCCGTGAGCCTGTTACTGCACTCCAGCCTGGGCAACAGAGTGAGACTCCGACTCAAAAAATAAAATAAAATAAAAGATATATGTCAGAACTGGAATGATTTCAGAAGGGTGCACTTTAATGAATATAGGGTAGGAAGAATAGAATCCGTAAGGAAAAGCTGAATGATTTGGCATCTTAGGCTAGAAGGCAGAGGCTGGCAGGTGGCGTCATCAGTGTTAGCCAGGGAGGACAACCAGCCAAGCTAAGAGCGACCAGACAGCCTTTACTCAATCGCTGAACCCGCAAGCAGGAGGCAAAACAGGGCCGGCTTCCGTGTCCTGACAGGTGAGAGTCAGAGGCAGTGCAGCACAGACAGGGGAAATGTCCAGAAGCCCCCAACAGAAGGGAATAAAAGACTCTTGCCTTGCTGGGTGTGGTGGCTCACACCTGTAATCCCAGCACTTTGGGAGGCAGAGGCGAGAGGATTGCCTGACCCACAGGTTCAAGACCAGCCTGGACAACTTGGTGAGACCTCATCTCTACAATAAATGAAAAAATTGGCTGGGAACGATGGCTCAAGCCTGTAATCTCAATACTTTGGGAGGCCGAGGCAAGAGGATTGCCTGAGCTCAGGGGTTCAAGACCGACCTGGGCAACTTGGTAAGACTTTGTTTCTACAATAAATCAATAATAATAATAATAAACCAGGAGTGGTAGTACATGCCTGTAGTTCCAGTTACTTGGAAGGCTGAGGTGGAAGGATTGCCTGAGCCCAGCAGGTTGAGGCTGTGGTGGCCGTGAGTGTGCCACTGCACTCTAGCTTGGGAGACAGACTGAGACTCTGATTAAAAAAAAAAAAGGGTCCTGCCTCTTTAGGGACCTGACTGAGGGTGGGAGATGGAGATGGGCTGGAGTGAAAGTTACTGAGTCCAAGTGAAGAGAGGGACTGTGCTAGGGCCCCCAGTAAGGAGGCCTTGGAAAGAGCCTCAGTCCAGGTCCCCGGTAAGACTTCCGGATGGAGGTGCTGGGCTAGGGATGCAAGTGTGCTTCTGAGCATGGCAGGTCTGGGGTCCAGAGCCCTCAACTGCAACTCTCCCCAGACAGCGGCCATGCGCTGGCTGGGCACAAGCTGGGTATGGGGGTTGGGGGGGCAACTGCCCTCATGGGGCCTGCCAGGCAAAGCTTGTGACTGTCGATGGCTTTCCAAGTAGCTGGAACTACAGGTGCGTGCTACCATGCCCTGTTTGTTGTTGTTATTATTATTGATTTGTTGTAGAGACAAAGTCTCACCAAGTTGCCCAGGTTGAAAGGCCACCTGTAACATGCTGGCCTGGAGCTGGAATCTTCACTGGCCAGAATCTGTCTGCATCCAAAGCCACTGGCCTTTCCAGTAAAAGCAATTCTTTTGCCAGGCATGGTGGCTCATGCCTATAATCACAGCACTTTGGGAGGCCAAGGCAGGAAGATTGTGTGAGCCCAGGAGTTCAAGACCGGCCTAGGCAACACAGAGAGAACTCGTCTCTCCAAAAAATAAAAAAAAATAAAAAAAAATTAGCCAGGTGTGGTGATGCACACCTGTAGTGTAAGCTACTTGGAAGGATCACCTGAGCCAAGGAGGTTGGGGCTGCGGTGAGCCGTGAGCATGCCACTGCGCTCCAGCCTGGGTGAGAGTGAGACTTCGACTCGGAAAAGAGTCACTGACGATTCCACATTCAGGCTCCCTGGCCTGCCCCATCCTCACCCTACACACACAATCTGACTAGAGGTTATCAGCGCTGCAGCATGTCCAGGCAGCACTGGGATGTGTCTCAGCCCTCCTTCTCCCCAGAGGAGCCCATGAGGGGTGCCCACTGCTGAGAGTGCTTGCTGCCGGGATTCTGGAAGAAGAGGATCCCTACTGGTCAGAGACAGACAGCAGCCCTGCAGCAACCATCAGCAATCCATTTTTCAAGTCTGAATGGAAAGTTTTGGCTGGGCTTGGTGGCTCAGCCTGTCACCCCAGCACTTTGGGAGGCCAAGGCGAGTGGATTGCCTGAGCCTGTGGGTCCGAGACCTGCCCAGGCAACTTGGCGAGACCTTGTCTCTACAATAAATTCTAAAAAACTAGCAGGCCATGGGAGTGCATGCCTGTAGTTCTGGCTACTTGGAAGGCTGAGGCGGAAGGATCACCGGAGCCCAGCAGGTTGAGGCTGTGGTGGCTGGGAGCGTGCCCCTGCTCTCCAGTCTGGGCGACAGAGTGAGACTCCAACTCAAAAAAAAAAGAGAAAGTTTTTACCCTTCTCCCATGAAAATGACACCCTGGCCTCTTTTCTCATGAAAAACTTTATTTCCAGAAGCAGAACTGTTTTTAACACAGAGTTTCGAGGGATCAGCCTGCCTGTGAAGCCCAAATTCCACCTTTTCAAGTCTCAGCCTTCCTAGACTGACTCCCTCTGAGGTTCCAGAACTTTCAAGCAGGGTTTAGGAAAGAGACTGCCTGAATTCCTGCCCCTGATGTCCCACCCTTAGAGCCCTCTTCTGGGGGCTTCGACATTTTCCATTCTGAGCTCTGATGCAGCGGCCAGCGTCTCTCCCTTCCACACCGTCCACGACGCTGTATTTCCACAGGAAAGAGACAGCCTGATCTGCCTTCTGGAGGGGGCGTTTCCATGGGAAACAGGCGAGGAGGGGGCTCTGGCGAGCCCAAGGAGCCTCACAGGCAGCAGAGCCGCTCCACCTCCTCCTCGCAGTCATAGAATTTCTCAAAGAGCTCGGGCGAGGTGCTGTTACACTCCAGCCACCGTCTCAGCGTGCCCAGGGCATGGAGGGCATCTGCTTTGGTGGGCAGGGGCTCGAAGGCGTCCTCCCCGCCCCTGTCCTCGTCTCCAGTGCCTGTCTCCTCTTTGCACACGCCAGGCCCTGGCTCCTCACCCTCCAGGTCCACAAAGCGGGAAAACTCCTCGCGGCTTAGTCCACGGGGGACTGGTAGCATCTCGGAGGCTCTGTCCGGGGACGGGGGCCTTTTGCCGGGAGCCAGCCCTTCCTGAACGAAGCCGCCCAGAATGAGCCGAGGAGGTACCTTGGCCCAGGCCGCTGCCACCAGGTGCAGCGCGTCCAGCACGGTCACGCCTGCTCCAGCCTTGGCCAGCGAGGTCCCATCTCTCTTGCTCTGGACAGCAGCTAGCTTGCCCAACAGACGGTGCCGGTAATGGGCCTTAAAGGCCCGGACCACGGAGCTGGGCAGGGGAGGTGTGGTGCTGGAGGCAGGCAGAGGCAAGAGCCTCACGTGGTAGAGCCCGGGCAGGCCGGCCAGTTCCTCCACCACTCGGGCAGCCAGCAGCAAGGCCACCTGCCGGCCCTGCCGCCCCATGTCCTGGTCAAACCGGGCCAACCATTCTGTCCAGGGGACCCCCAGGTCAGGGTGGTAGGAGGCTGGCAGAGCCTCACTGCTGACCCCAAAGAAGCATCTGGGGGCAGCCTGGAGCCCACCCACCAGCACCCGCCGCTTCTCCGTGCCTTTGCTGTTGGTACACAACAGCACCTGCACCTGATCACATGTGCCCACACCACCGGGCACGGCCCGGAACAGCAAGGGCACTTCGGCACAGCCGAAAACATCCTCTGGGGAGAAATCCTTAAGGGAAAGAGGCAGCTGGGCGTGGGTGGTGATCCCTGGGGGAGGCGGCTCGGGGGGAAACGGAGGCACGAGGACATGGCGGGCCCCAAAGCCGACGTTGTTTCGGCGTTTCCAGCGGACCAGCCAGCCGATGCTGGGCACGAAATCCTGGCCCATGATGTCGGCTAGCTCCTTGGCCTTGTGGAGCAGCATGGGCCCCGTCACGTCCCAGGCCTTGGCCCGGGCAATGTGGTACCAGCAGAGCAGGGCCTCGTCGATTCCGCTGTACTTGGACTCACGCTTGCGCTTGCGCTCCCGGTTGGCCGTGCCGCTGCACCAGTCCGCCAGCAGCTTCTCCTTGTTCTTGCAGATGCGTGAGATCTGCGGCTGCGAGACCTGGAAGCGCCGGGCCACCTCCGACTGGGACATTTTGGACTCGTCCAGGAGCTCCAGCACCTGGATCTTCTCGGCCAGGGACAGGGCGTGAAGCTTCTTCTTGCAGCTCAGCTCCATGGCTTCTCCACGGCACCTGCTGGGGGGGAAGCATGAGGGAACAGGGTGAGCTGAGGCCGGGAGGGATGGGAGGGGGGCCCAGGAGGGAAGACTAGATGAGGACAGGGGACCGGGCCGGTGTGCAGAGAGGCCCAGGGAGACTGGACCAGCTGGGAAAGGGCCAAGCTGAATGAGGCATGGGCTGGCACCCACCATGGGGAATGCCAGAACAGAGCTGGGGAGCGTGTGTCTCTCCACTGGGTCAGAGGGAGAGGGAAGTTTGGGCTGGGGCCTGGCATCACTGGGGGAGAAGGACGAATAGGGTCCAGGGGACAGCTGCAGTGACAACAAAGGAGCGTGGATAGGGGAGGACCTGGGGCTGAGTGGGGCAGGTGTGGGGGATGACCAGGGCAGCCGGGGAGGAGCCCCTGGGAAGGAGACTGGGAGGGTGGCCTGGGCCAGACACAGATGAAGACGTTGGGGGCCGGTGGTGGAGTGAATCACAGAGTTGAGGTGACAGGTGTACAGCCGACAAAGGGACGGAGGGGGTCTGAAGGAGCGAGTCTGATGTGGTGCTGGGTCCCGGGTGGAGGGCAGGAGGCCGGGCGAGAGTCAGGCCTGGAGGGGGCTGGGCGGCAGGCGACAGGGCAGGTGCACAGGCGACAAAGGGCACGGAGGGGGTCTGAAGGAGCGAATCTGATTTGGTGCTGGGTCGCGGGTGGGGGGCAGGAGGCCGGGCGAGAGTCTGGCCGGGAGGGGGGACGGGCAGCGCGAGCCGGCAGGTGCACAGGCGACAAAGGGCGAGAGGCG